AAAATGCAAATAAGAAGTGGAAGACCAATTTTACCCACATTATTCAATTATTTGAATATAAAAAGAATAAGATCACGATTTAACAAATTAAAATAATCTTTCATGAACTCTTTCACGAATAACATATTAAACAAAAATAAAAGTTATAAATCAGTGGTAATGGCTTATACTGGAATATATGACCTCTGCACATCATCAGCACCTGACTTGGTACAGTATAGTTACTACTTGGATACAGAGTTAGATTTAATAATGTAACAATAAGAACAATATATATTATAATAATAAACTTCTCTGCACATATTAGACGCTTGTTACCATGAACTAACTCTACTTGACAATGGGCTGAGCACTTATCACAGAGTCTGTGTGCGATGCCATTCTTGTGCTGTGATTGGTTTGTTGAGTCACGTGAAGCCCTACTGTTGCGCCCTTGCGTATCGCGTGAATGCTGCACATTTCTGGCCATGACGTACGACCCACTTCATTTGACAGCCTTTCTGTAGACTCAGGGCTACTTCCCTACAGCTGGTTTATGGAATAAATTAATTATTTAACGAACTTACTTGAAATCTGTCTTAGTGATATCAAGGAGTTATAACAGACTCCTTGGTGATATCCTCTGTAAGGTTCGATTTTAGGTTCACAGATCGAGAAGAAGTGAGCAACAAGAGTCGTGGATTTCCAAACAGCTTTATTCCCACTGCCTAAGTCCCCCTCTCTACCCACCACCTGTTCTATTCATATCTACCTTAATGTCTAATTTAAATACGACCTTATAATAAATCTTTCTAGTCTAGGCGCGGGCGCCGCGACATCCTAGGGGCGTGGGACATGCTAAGGGGCGCCACCGCGTTATATATACAGGGTTACTACTAAATATGGAATATTTTTATCATTGTTATTTTTGAGTGCTAATTTAAAATTTCTTGGCTTCATTCATCAAAAAAGTATATCATTGATTGATAAAAAATACCCAGTGTTCTATTTTGAGATTTGTTGGTCAATAATATCAAATCTGACGTAAGATGTCATTCAAAAGAAAAGAACACCCCCAGAAAACCATATCAACAGTTTGATGTCAGTATTAACTTTAAGCTAAGATATTAAAGAAAATGATAGCCTCCGGACAGTGATATGCTACACAGTCAAAGAACTCATTACAGTAAATCATGAAAAGTCATCAATAGCGGGTATGACCTCCAGCAGACGCTTGCTGCGCCCTCATCCTACATGGCATACCCTGTGACAAGTTTTTCAGAGTTTGGATGGGGATATCATGTCACGCAGTGATATTTGCCTGTCACAATTCAATATTTACCGGCCGATGACCATAGCTATTAATTCTGTGAGTTACTTCCGCCCACAGATTTTCAATTACATGTAGGTTCATATCTGGGGAGTTTCCAGGCCAGGGCAGTTGCTGAACCCATTGAAGTAAAACGGTGATTATGCGAGCTTGATGTGGCGTTGCGTAGTCGTCTTGGTACACAAAGTTGTTCCTGAAGTTGACTCTTACAAATTGAAGCATTGCTTGCTGTAGAATGTCTCTGTAGGAACCCTGGTTGAGGTTGCCTCCTAGAAAAACCAACTGGTTCTGGGCACCGGCATGAAATGCTCCCCAAACAGAGACGTTACCACCCCCTGCTTGCACCCTAGGCAGTACACAATC